TTACCAGCGACCCTGACGGCCCCACACAGGTGACACGGAGGGTCCCAGCGGCGTCTGAGCGCACCATGCCAGTCTCTGAGAACCCCACAAGGCTCCTGAAGGCACCGGTGACCTCTTGATATCTTCTTGTCGGCCTATGAAGGATCCGTTCCGTAACAGCAGTTCTGAGGGCCCAACGCGCGCCTGTGATGGCCCTAAACCAATGTCTCTGAGAGCCCCCACACCGGCGCCTCCAGTCCGAGGGCCCCACATTGCCATATCTGAGGGCCCCACACTAGTGCCTCTTAAGGCCCTATATCGGCGGCTCTGAGGGCCCAACATCGTAGCTTCTGAAGGCCCCACAAGTGCGCATGTGACGGCCACCCTGCCACCGGTGACATTTGAAGGCCCCACACCGGCGATTCTGAGGGCCCCATCAGCGCCTGAGCCCGTTCCGGTCTCTAAAGATGACTCCACAGTAGGGCTGACCGAGATTAGTTCGAATCGGACGAATTTCATAGTTCGGCTTCGGCTCACTCTTTTTCCTATGTAAAATTTAATTTTAGATAGGGTCTTACATGGGACAAAAATTGATCAGGATACATCTTCCGTAGTAAAAATGCAGTTTTATGGGAACTGTTTCCAGAAGTTAGTCCGATATTTGCAACATCAGTTCCGTACCTCCTCTTTCTTATCGATGAATGGTCTTTTGCTTCGAAACCTCATCATACGGCGTACGAGTCCAAACAATCAGGTTGGATGGAATACCGGTGGCTGCAAAAACCTACGAAACAGGTGAAGCTGCTCTTCAGAGCAATTTAAACTCTTCCAGAATTGCTGAATATTGCCAGAGGCATTGGCGACTAAAGCCTCTCCCTCGGCAGGAACAATACAACGGCACTGATTAGTTGTTCATCATATCGTTACAGGTGCACATAAAAGATGTCAATTCGTTGGATGCAAGCTTATAACTATGCCCTTGGGCGTTGAATAATTTTTCCTACTAGTAACATGTAGTGAAAAGGCACATGTCAATGCTGGTGTTAAGGTCAGTACCCAAATATGTTGAAAGAACTCTATCAAAATATACAATTGACTTCTCAGCTGATACAAATCATTCAAATCAATTTCATTCAAATTTGTTTGCAATAGTCTACCAACAATCACCATTGAAGTGCACTGAAGGAATATAGCTGAACAATTAAACATTAAACAAGTCAATGAGATCAGTAGGTTTAGCGATTTGGTGGTTTCCATTCATCCGAGTCCAGTGATAGAGTTCGGCGATTTCTGATGCCTTTTTATATTCCATCAGGGCCAATAATTCAAGTAGTTAGATAGCCCAAAGCTAAACGTAGATGGATGCTTAGGCCAAACAAACCATCAGGAAGGCATCTGGCGGCAAGATAAGGGATTTGGTCGGAAATCGTAGAAAGTTCAACCAGAATGAAGTAGGTACCAGCCGAAAGGGCTGTGTTGCAAACAGGAATTTTGATTCAGGAACAGCTGATGATCGACAAAGAAAGGGCGAGAAAGAAGATCGGTGAGAGAGAGAGAGAGAGAGAGAGAGGGAGAGAGAGAGAGAGAGAGAGAGAGAGAGAGAGAGAGAGAGAGAGAGAGAGAGAGAGAGAGAGAGAGAGAGATTGTGAAGGAGCTGGTTCCGCTTATCCTGGCGCAGTGACTGAAATCCAATTATGCAAGATTCAGCCCTCCAGTCCAGTGATCATCGAGAAGAGTCTCACGGTGAAAGTGGAGAAGCTTTGGAGAAGAGTCGAAGAAGTTGCTCTAGGAAGGGCGAAACAAACTGGGAGGAAAAGGTTATGCAAATACTGATCAAACTGTGTAATATCACCAACTGCCCTCATTCCATCCTGCTTTGTGATGAGCCTAATAAAGGGCGTATCAAATACCTGAAGTGAATGAGTTCCTCGTCAATAACTCCCGATCAAATTGAGTTAGCGAGTCGCAAAAATCACGAATGGACTCAGGAAGACCTGCCGAATCGAATGATATGCAGGATAACCTCTTTTGTTCAAGGTCGTGACCTAAAGGGACCTGACCTGACCTTGACCCGAGGTCAACACCTTAACTTGCTCTCACCCGAACAAAAAGTATACCATTCGACGCGCCTGATATAGCAAAACACAATGCTGACAAAATCGCGGCTCTGCGACCATTTTGAGCGAAGTTATTCATCAAAAACCGAACCGATCTTGCGCCACTTGACCTGACCTCAGAGGTCACCAGTTAATATCAGGCCTTAAAATCGGGTACCAATCGCTGCGTCTCGTAACGGCGCACACGCTCGTTCTTTTCCCAAGACTCTAGCTCAATTAGGGGCGAAACGGCGATGGGGGTCGTACCAACCTCTCATTCTCAGCCGGGGCGCGTATAGAAAACCAATAGGTCCGGCGAGGGTTAAATATAAATGTGCAAATTTACTACGAAAGGAGTATTTTTATCAAAAAACTGTAAGATGACATTTCACCTTAAAATTCAATTTTACATCGGAAAAAAGGCGAGCCGAACTGAAATTGCAAATTCGAAAATCTCGGTCATCCCTACTCCACAGGGTTTCTGAAGGTACATACCACCGGCCTCTGATGACCCTTTGCCGGCCTCTGAGGGCCCGTCGCCGGTCTCTGGAGCCCCCTGCCGGCTTGTAAAGGGTACGCGCCAGCAGCTCTAAGGGTCCGACACCCGTGTACGACGGACCCACACCATCTTTGCAACTTAACGTTTTTTTTCGCCCTTCTTAAATCTAAATTTTCTTTTCTTTACATCTTTATTTCATGCCTTGTAAGTTGCGTAATTGTTTTATTTTTAGTAGTGAACTACTGCAGAACAATTATTTTCCTCAAGCAGAGTTATTGAGGGACAAAACCATTGGGGGTGCCCGGAAAACCATTGGGGGTGCTCATTTGAGCATTGGGGGTGCTGCAGCACCCCCAAAGGTATACAAATCGACACCCATGCATCCAACCCTCTTTCCTATAAGCGCGAGGGTGAAAAAGGCTGTTTGGTTCTGACATTGTTTTGGACGCCAATGACCATAGCTGTCCGAGATGAAAGCTACAGGACGCATACATGGTGTCCTCCAGAGGTCTCACAACTTGTATATCTGGGAATTTTTCAAGGTTACATAAGGTCAGGTCGGTCACGTGACATCACTGTTATAAATCAATGGGGAAATATAAAAAACTGTTATTTTGGCGCCGAGAATGATCTAAAACTATCCCACGTACATGGTATCGTGATTTCATGCACTCCTTGCAAAGTTCAATGCTTTACTTTTGCATTGTTAACCTTGCGTGACGTCATTTATGACGTCACTAGGGTCGTACGAGTTTTTCGTCAATAACTCCCGATCAAATGGAGCAAAAGGGTCGGGAAAGCCACCAATGGACTCGGAAAGACCTTCCGAATCGAATGATATGCCATATGATACCCTTTGCCCAGCTCCGTGACCTGAGGGGCTCTGACCTGACCTTGACCCGAGGTCAACTACTTAAGTTGACCTCACCCTAGCAAAAAGTATACCATTCGATGCACCTGAGCTAGGCAAACACAATGATGCCAAAATCGCGGTTCTGCGGCCATTTTTTACGAAGTTATTTACTAAAAACCGAACCCGTAACTTCAGTCACGTGACCTGACCTCAGACGCTACCGGTTAACCTGAGACCTTAAAATCGGGTACCAATCGCTGCGACTTGTAACGGCACACACGCTTGTTTTTTCCGCGAGGCTCTAGCTCTATTAGAAGCGAAACGGCGTGCTGGGGTCGTATCAACCCCTCCGAAACCCATTTTGTTTGCGGGAAAATGAGGAACTTATAGAAAGAACACCTTTTTAATTTTTTGCATGTCGATTTGCAATGACATGAAGTTTATTTTGAAAGAATAAAAATGTGAAAAATTTTGGTCCCAAAAGTCATTAGAGGCAAATGAAAAAAAGATTATGGTTTTTGTTCAATAATGAAATTTTTTCTTTGCAATTTTTAAATAGTAATATTAATTTTTGATTCATCGCAAGCTTAGTGTTGTTTACTTTTTGTTGGTTGCTTAACCCGTTCTTGAGTTATAGGCCATCAAACTCACCGTTACATACCGAAGTTTAAAAAATGTAATGCAATATAACTCAAAAAGTTTTGATCTGAGAAGTCTGATATTTTGCCAGGCGTCTTTGGGGCCTATGATTACCCCTAGGACCGATTTTCATTAAAATCTGAGAGATGAGGGTGACGGGCCTGGTACGATCTATCGTGGAATGCCCCAACTGCAAACGTGTTGGAACCAGATGATAACAGGCAAAAAATGTTACAATTGACCCGATACTGGCAGAAATGGAGCTATTATGATATCGCTTGTTGATAACTAAGTATGGCGTGCTTCATAAATGATCGCCGCATAGAGAAACAACCGTTTAATTACGAAAAGTCTTATATTTTACTCATAATAACAATCTGAGCCCAAAGTCCGCTTATATTTGGAGTTTGTACCGTAACATTTTAATGAAACAAATTTCAACAAATCCTCTGTGAAAAGGGTGGCCTCCGTTGACCCATGCTTTACTGCCATCACAAGTTACCGCACGGTGACCGCCCCCCATCCCTCCGCAACCACTCCCCTCGTCCCGCCGCGCTGGCTGCCACCGCGTGTCAGGCTCCGGTCAGTGCTACCAGTGGCCTTCAAACTTTTCCGCTCAACCGCGGCTGGGACTAGTGTTGCCCTCTCCTCCGAGTCGCGATACTTTCAAGGGAGACTATACAGAGGACGTACTATCAGAGGTTGTTTGACATATCTCCGCACCTGCCGCCAGATGACGCTATTTGATACAGGTGGGGTTATCTGATACAGCATGCGGTGGTTTAGGAAAATCGGGACGTCACTTTGAAAGACGAGGGAACCGGCTCAGTGTGACGCCTTTCAGTGTGAGTGTGACGCCCCTCAGTGTGACGCCGCTCAGTGTGACGCCCCTCAGTGTGACGCCGCTCAGTGTGACGTCTCCGTCTGCGGCCAGGGCTGAACGCCATCGTCCTGTACCTGGGTCACGAGCTGGTGGGCGGCCTGTTCCCGGTGTCGCTGCGCTCCGTGCTGCCGCCAGCCGGCACGCACGCCGCCGCGCTGCTCAACAGCCTCTGGGCCGCCCTCGTGTGGCTGCTGGTCGCCTGGCGCCTCTACAAACATGGCCTCTTCATTGCGCTGTGAGTGCAGCGAATGAGCGCTTTCGGCTGCTGAAGACAGGCCGCGGCTGCAATGGCCGCCTGTGGGCGGAGCGCTATTGGCGGCGACTCTGAGCCGGCGCCGCAGCTCGGGCGCCACCTCCATCATGAGCCGCAGCTCGTACCATACACCCGGCAACCGACAAGTGCGCTGTTAAGGGCTCTCTGTAGATGTGTGTAATACTGTGGGTTTATCTATCCGTACGCTGTAAAAATGTTCTCTGATTTCTTAGTTAGCCGGCCACTTTTCGCCAACAAGATGCGAGTAGACTTGAAGTCTACATACTCGCATTTTGTTAGTGAAAAGTGAAGTCTACTCACATTTTGTTAGTGAAAAGTCGAGTTTACTCAATGTAAACTAAACATTATGTTTACTCAATGCGAGTAAACATAATGCGAGTAGACTGAAGTCTACTCGAATTTAATGCAGTGAAAAGTGGGCGGATAACTAGGAAATTAGTAAACACTGTTTACAGTTACCGGGGTTACATGAGCGATCCGTTCCAAATACGCACTACGCTAATGCGCATCAGCTCCCCACAAACGGATCTACGGCACCGGTTACATGAGACTAATTCGTTTTATCTACGTCAAACGGATCTTGTTTGGCTCACCCGGGCTGACTCCTCGACGGCCGGTAATTCGCATCACAAACGGAATAGGATTAGCGTACAGTCATGGCGCAGTTGCGGCATTTACCGGGACGACTGAGCTAAATTTTAAATAATTATATCATTTGATAGGCTCAAAAACATTTAAAATTAACATGAAATCAAAAAATGAAAACAAAGTTTTCTTGTTTTAAGTCAGTGGGCACTGATTCGCCATGCAGCGACAGCAGGGTGGTCAGAAAAAATTATCTATCAAAATATTTCATTCATTTTATTTCACATGCAAAGACTAAACCAAAATACCAACATTTTTTTATGTTATTTTCTACGAGGCAGCCAATAAAAAAATGCTTAGTATTTTGCATTTTGACGCTTCCAGTCAGCAAAGAATAGTTCTTGTGAAATACGGCCCGAATCGTGTGCCTCGGACGTTTCGGTTACATGAGCGATCCGTTCCAAATACGCACTATCGCTAATTCGCATCAGCTCCCCAAGAACGCATTCAGTGCACCGACTACATGAGCAAATTCGTATCAGTGACGTCAAACGGATCTAGTTTGGCTCTCGGCCCGATGCGCATTACAAACGAAATAGCATACAAATGTGGCGCACTTCCGTAGCAATAGAGGTGACTAAATTAAAAATTTATTATCTTATGTCTTTTTTGCATTTAATCTGCTCAAATCATTCTCAATTAACTTAACAAAAAAAAGTTGAACATAAAGTTGTCCTGCTTTGACTCATTGGGCAATTGCCTCTCTTGATTCGTCTGTAGTGCTGTCAGAAAAATGTTTCAACTGAAATTATGTGGATATTTACTATTTGGTTTTCACAATAATTATTGTTGAAAACTTGACAATATACCGACATATTTTTTAAATATTATTTCAAAAGAAGAAATTGAAAAAAATACCTATTATTTTGCATTTTAATGTTTCTTTTTGCAAAGAAATAGTTCCTGTAATACGTATCTTGGTCCTATTCGCTTCTAAGCCTGTTTCTCAGCGGATTTTGTTCGGACCGCCGATTCGTATTAGCAGGTGGATACATGAGTCGGTAGTACGCTCCTGATTCGCATTAGCGGTGAATCCGATCGTGATACGAATTTGCTTTGCTCATGTAACCGCGGATCGGATCGCCGATTCGTACTAGCAGGTGGCTACATGAGTCGGTAATGCGTTCCTAATTCGAAATAGCGGCTAAATACGTATTTACTGTGCTCATGTAACCCCGATAAGTGTAGGAGGTATGTCGAGCATTGAAGGAGGACTGGCGTGGCCGCACGGCGGCTGCCGGCGCGGTGCGGTGCGTCGACTCGGGCAGCGGAGATCAGACGCTGGCCGGCACTCCCACTGGCAGAGTCACCCTGTCGCGCAGGGTCTGTTGAAAATCAAAATGAAATAAATAGGGCCGGCTCTCTGGTTTGACTTAAAAAACTTGAATATATGAGCACTTCAATTATATTGGTGGCGGTGGTGGCAGCAGATAGCACACTGGCGGTACACGACCTCACACGGCGGCGGTGGCGACAGAACTCGTGAACGAAATAATACAACAAAGCGAAATCGGCGCGGTTAGGAAAAATATTCGTGAAGGATGCAGGGGTTACCAAATGGGCTGCCATAGGTAAAATAAAATGACGGGGCGTAAAGGAAAGGTAGGATACAACACAGTAACGATGGAAAACAAATACGGTACGGTAACATGAGGAGAAAAAAGGTCACAGGGCAGTAACGAATAGCGACATACTCCCCACTTTCGAAGTGAGCCGTCACTTCGAAAAGTCTCCTCACTCGGCACAGTCACTTTTTCGGCATTCGCCTCGCCGACGCTCACTTCACTCAGACGCCTCTAGTCTCAACAGTTTGTTAATCGGGCGGCGGGTAAGTCGCCCTCTTAGCACGATACTCGCCGCGCGAGCGCGGCCGTCCGCTCCAGACAGGAGGGACACCACGCGCGCCAGAGGCCAGCGACCACGCGGACCTTCTGCGTGCACCAGCACAATCTCTCCGACCTCGGGCAGCCGAACCGGACGGCCGCGCCGAGAGAAGCTCCACGTGCGTAGAGTCTGCAGGTACTCTTTGGTCCATCGCTGAACCAGGTGCTCGCTGACCAGCCGCTGGTGCCGCCAGCGCCGACTCAGGCTGTCCAGCTCGTGGCCAGACGGAGAGAGCACGCCACGGATGGACGTGACCCCGAACAACAGGTGCGCGGGCGTCAGCACGTCGTCGTCACCTGGGGTGAGAGGTCGGAAGTTCAGTTGTAACGCCAACTCATACAGGGTGACTGCCAACTCCTCATGGGTAAGATAACACTGGTGCAGGGTAATGCGCAGGGACTTCTTGGTTATCCCGACCAAACGTTCCCAGAAGCCGCCCCACCAGGGCGCCGCCTCGGGTACAAAGCGCCAGGTCACAGCGGCAGGTAGGTGCCCGAGCAGGGCATGAAACGTTCTGGCATTGTCACTCACAACTAGCGATGGCGTGCCACGTAGCGCAAAGAAGCGGCGCAAAGCCAGCTTGACGTCAGCGACATTCTGAGTCTTACACAGTTCGAGATGCACAGCTCGCGACGAGGCACAGGTCAGCAGCAGTACCCATACCTTGTCGCCGCCCTTGACGTACATCGGACCGAAAAAGTCCACACCGACCCGGCTGAACGGACGGCTGGGCTCCGTCCTAAACAGGGGCAGCGCGCCATCAGCTGACCGGTACGGCGCACCCCGGTACCTCCGGCACCTGAAGCATGTACTGACCACACGATGAACAGTTCGTCTCCTCACACAGTATTCACCAGACAGCAGTGCCAGTGTGGTGCGGGTACCCTGGTGAAACGATTTACGGTGTGCATCATCCACTATCAAGGTGGTCAGATGGGCAAACTCAGGCAGAATGATCAGAGCAGGTTCGTGAGTTCGCGTGACTGCTTCTAGGACACCATCTGCGTTTAGACGAGGTCTGACCTTCTCGAGTCGCGAGTTGGGTGGCAGCGGCGCGCCAGCCGTCAGCGCCTCCAGCTCCGGCGCGTAGGCGGCACTCTGCGAGACCCGGATCCAGAACCGCAGCGCCTCCCGGCGCTCCTCGGGTGACAGCGCTCCACTCCTCCTCTCAGTGCGCTGGTGCCTGGCGTTGTGCGCGAAACGAAGAATCCACGCGGTGCGGTTCACTGCCTGCTTGAGATGAGAACACTGAGTCACATCAAACGGTCCACGCATGACGTCCGGAATCGGATCAGGGCCACGCCCTCGTCTCACGGTCACGACCTGACGTCTGACCTCGGGCCTCGTCTCTGCTTCGGCTTCTGCTGAGGGAGGCGTCAGTAGCACTAACGAGGCATCATAGTCAGACGGACTCAAATCAAATGGTGGACCCTTCCACCACTTGTCACAGGCGATGAGAGAGGTCAGCGTTACCCCTCTCGTGCCTATGTCAGCGGGGTTATCAGAGCCTCTGACGTACCTCCACTGGTCGGCGGTCGTCAACTGAAGCACAGTCTTCACCCGGTTCTCCACGAACATCTTGAGAGGCCGCCTCCGGTTGAGCCAGTGAAGCACGTCGGTCGAGTCGGACCAGTAGGTGACTGTTGCGCTCTCCAGATGCAGCGCGTTCTTGATGAAGTCCATCAACCTGGCTCCAACAACAGCGGCCATCAGCTCCAGCCTGGGGATCGTTAGATGTGGAGACAGGGGGGCCAGCCTACTCTTAGACATCACCAGGGCAGGCTCCCCACCCTGGACCACATACACCACCGCGCAGTAGGCGGTCCGAGACGCGTCACAAAACACGTGAAAAGTCGCTCCGGACTGATCGTCACGCGCTCCGGCTAGGCGAGGGAACCAGATCACCCTCCCCGGCGAGTCTCTCCACCAGGCTCGGACCTCGGTCTGCAGCTCCCCACTCAGGGGACTATCCCATGTGCATTGAGCGTCAAGCCAGGTACGCTGAAACAGGGCCTTCCCCCAGATCAGCCACGGCGTCACCACGCCGAGCGGATCAAACGGTCTACTCACAGCAGATAGCAGCTCAGTCCGGGTGCCAGGGCAGGTCACCTGTGGCACGGTCACGGCCAGACGATCCGATCTTGTGCTCCACAGTAGGCCGAGCACCTTCTCGTCCTCAGTGTCGTCACCAGACATCCTGGTCTTGTGAAGATCCATGGAGGCCTCGCTGAAGACGTCACCCATCTTCGTCAGTCCGGCCTCTGCCTCCGCCCTCGTACTGAAGGACGGGCACATGTCGTCCATGTAGACGGAATCCTGAACCTTCTGCAACAGAACAGGTTCATCGCGCAGACACCGGCGGACGTGCTCAGCGATAGTGCACAGCAGCATGTAGGGCGAACAGGTGAGTCCAAACGGGACCCTGCGAAACCTCAGCCGCTGGCCCGCCCACAGTAGCTGCACGAACTGACGGTCCTCCTCAGTGAGTACAATCTGATGGAAAGCTGCACGAATGTCCGTCTGACAACCCACAGCTCCTGAACGGAAGTTAAGTAGCACAGCTGGTAAACGATGCAGCAGGTTCTCTCCCGGCTCAAGGTAGGAGTTCAGGCTCATACCTGCACCGTCTGGCGCTGATCCATCGAACACCACTCGCAGTTTGCCGTTGCGGTGCAGTCCTCGATGCGGTAAGATGAACTCTGATGGTGGACTCGGCAGCGCGGGCTCGATGACGGCGTCTTCCAGCAGCTGATGCAGGTGGTCATCGTACTCCTGAAACTGTTCAACATTCAACTTCTCTGTCATACGGTGAGTCCGGGTCTTCGATAACATCAGGTTAGACACTGGGCGCTGGTCGGACTTCCATACTAGCCCCATCTCATACCTGTTCTCGGTGGCGTTCCAAGTCGGTACAGGTGGGTCTCTCTCGGCGGTCTCCTCTGCGGCGACTCCCACAGCGTCCAGCGTCCACATTCGCTCGACGTCAACCAGCTGACAGCGGTAGGCGTGCCGCTGCCGGGTCGTCTGCTGGCCTGGGGACTGTCCGTGGAGCACATACCCAAACACAGTCTCCACCAGCCGGAGGCCAGGATTCACCTCCACCTGGTTCCACAACACCACCTTGTACAGCTGATCACACCCAATTAGAACATCAACAGGTCCGTCACGGAAGTCATCAGCAAGCTCTACACTTGGGGGCAGAGACTGAATGGGTGGTGGAGCTCCCACGGGCGCACACAGCTTATCAGTTCTCCAGAACACAAGCTCGGCCTCACCTTTCTGGTATCCAGTGAGCCGCGCGCTTACTTGGTCGTACTGGTGAGCCTCCTCAACTCTCTCCTTGAATCCGACGCACGCGAAGGTCCCCTGGCCGACCTTCTCGAGTCCCAGCTGGTCAGCCAGTGAAGCCCGGATGAAGGAGGCGTCTGCCCCGCCGTCAATCAGCGCGCGTACTAGACGCACGCCCCGAGGACCAGCCACCTCCACGAGCGCTGTCTGCACGTAGCAGTGCTGCTGGCTCCGCACGCCCATGCACATCCGTCCCTGGTTGGCAGAAAAAGTACCAGCAGCAGCGGGGGGTGGCAATGGTCTGCGATCAGGCATGCGACTCTCAGACACAGCAGCAGCGGCAGGGGGTGACAGAGGTCCGCGATCAGGTACACATCTCTCAGTAGGCATGAGGGCTGCATGCTCTCCTGGCGGTGGGTGCAATGACGAGTGGTGCGGGCCACCACACCACGGGCATCGGGTGCTGTGGCAAGCACGCAGCAGATGGGGGCCAAGACACTGGTAGCAGAGCTTAGCCCGGCGCACAACATCCCAGCGAACAGGCACAGTCATGGTGCGGTAGGCCGAACACGCAGCCAGGCCATGCTTACCCGTTCCGCATGCCAGACATACCCAGTCAGGTCCCTTCTTCTGCCTCACGTTCAGCATGCTGACTGTCGGCTTCCCAGGTACTGCGGTAGGTGGCTGCTCACTGGTGATCCTCTTCCTCCGAGCAGCTGCCTCCTCCCTGATGCTCATCTCCTTCTGCAGGAACTTCAGGAAGACTGTGAGTTCATCAGATGAGTCAGCACTGCATCTCAGCCACTCAATCTTCCATGACTCAGGGATGCACGACAATAGCACAGGCATCAGCAGGACAGCATATGAGTCAGGCAACACGTTCATCGTCTCCAGCGCCCTGACCTCAGAAACCAGCCCATCAATCATGCGGCGCAAGCGGACCAAGTCATTGTCACTGTGCACAGGGGTGGTGGACAACAATCTCTGCATCAGCACCTTAATGCACAAATCTGGGCGATCAAACCTTTCCTTCAGGGTCTCCACAGCCTTCAAGTAGCCCTGGTCAGTGATGGGAAGACCCTGCACAGCCACCTCTGCCTGATCGACGAGGTGCGCCTTCAAGTGCACCAGCTTTTCGACAGGTGCATAAGCAGGGTTGTCATGGACAGATACACAGAACAGGCTCCAGAACTCTGACCACTTTTCCACATCCCCACAGAACTTGGGCAGCTTCAGGTCCAGCTTTCCCCCCAGGTAAGGTGGCACACACTGAGCCCTTCCAACAGAGACCTCAGAGCTCCTTTCCAGACGAGCAAGCACACGCTTAGCTTTGAAAATCTGATCCTGCATATCCTGAACATGCGAGGTATCATCAGGCACAGACAGCTTTGTCAGGCTCACCTGGATCTCGGTCATCAGATCAACGTGCTGCTCAAGGTGGTGTATTGCCAAGGCAAGGTCGTCCTCTTGAGAATTATCACATTCGGCAAGCTCTTTCATCAGTCTGGTTGCCTTACCTCGAGCCACAGTCCTTTTCTGTTTAAGCTGTGCCTCACGCTCCATCTTGATATACACAATTCACAAGTCAATCTCAGTCTTGATCAGTCAAAATCAATCAGCAAATCATCAAAGAAGCAAATTTAACAGAAATCAAAAAGTCATCCGGCCCGGAGGACTATGTTGAAAATCAAAATGAAATAAATAGGGCCGGCTCTCTGGTTTGACTTAAAAAACTTGAATATATGAGCACTTCAATTATATTGGTGGCGGTGGTGGCAGCAGATAGCACACTGGCGGTACACGACCTCACACGGCGGCGGTGGCGACAGAACTCGTGAACGAAATAATACAACAAAGCGAAATCGGCGCGGTTAGGAAAAATATTCGTGAAGGATGCAGGGGTTACCAAATGGGCTGCCATAGGTAAAATAAAATGACGGGGCGTAAAGGAAAGGTAGGATACAACACAGTAACGATGGAAAACAAATACGGTACGGTAACATGAGGAGAAAAAAGGTCACAGGGCAGTAACGAATAGCGACAGGGTCCGTGCGGGCTCTCGGAGCACCTTGTGTTCCTGATCGAAGCATGCAGACCGTTTGTCTGTCTTGGGCTCCTACGTCGCTAGCGGACCCGCGCTGCTGTCAACTTGAGCTTTGCTTATTCGCCGCCTCAGCGCTGGCACGCCGTGTCCGTTGTATGCCGTATCGGCCATGTGCTGTGTCTGAGCCGAGCACGCCAGCACGGCGGGCTGGCCGGCACCGTACGTGCATGTACAGGCGGGCCACCGGCGGCGGTGTGCGGCCGATGAGTGGCTCTGGGCGCCAAGCTGGTCCGTCCCGCGGCCGGCACCACATGCGTGCCATTACTGTTTAGTATTTACAGTGGAAAGTCCGCCGGCCGATGTCGCCCTGTTACGCGGCTCGTGATTGGACAGGTGTATGGACGTTTATAGCTGGGGAGGATTGAGTGTATGGACGCCGGTCCGTGCCGGTCCGACCATTCACCGGTGCCAGAAGACATGGGCTGTCCGAAGGGGGGAGGAGGCATGGGCCCCTTTTGGTCAAGAAAGGTGCGGCCGTACTATCTTTTGGCCCCACCATTTGCAAACCGAACAAAAGTCTAAGAAGTGTTTTTTATGTCTAAGTTGATTATACATCTTTGCTTTGCCATCAAATAAATTTATAGACGGTCTCAGTTTCGCATTACGTCTTCTTGGCGGTCGCTGTCCGCGGCCCAGTGCGCGCCATCCTGACAGGGCGCGGGCCGGCCATAGAACGCCCCTGGAGTTATAGCCTTGGGATAACTCCTTGCCTATGCAACATTCTCCACGTACAGGTAGGTCATGGTACTTGGCAGCGATGTTTTGCTAGCAGCAGGCCATAGGGGAAGGTGGGGGAATGGCGATCCCCTAAGCTCTCGTGCATATCGGGAGAAACCAAAGACCTGGAGCACTAACTTTGCTGTCTAAATGCTCTCTTCAGACAATTTCCTCAAATACTTAAGCATAAAATTGGCAATTTTTTAATCGTTTAAATTTGGTGGACAATTTAAAAAGTCAGCATTTTCAGGGGCAATGCCGCCTACGGGGTAATGGCGCCCACCCCGATATCACATCATCATAGGGTTAACCCTCGCATGTGTGCGGCGTTTGCCAGCTTCTAATGTGTAGGGGGGGGGGGTCGGTTGGACCCCACTTGCCGTTTGGCCCCTGATCGAGCTAGAGCTTCGCGAAAAAAAAGCGAGCGTGTTGTCCGTGACGAGAGGAAGCCGATGATACCCAATTTTAAGGTCCTAGGTCATTGGTTGACCTTCCAGGTCAGGTCAAAGACCCAAAGTCGGGAAAATCGGGACCTGTTAGAAAGTCGTAAAGTGTGGCTGCGAAGGGGTTTTTCGGGACGCTGATCGCGAATATCGTGTTAGTTTTGATCACAGATGATGTCCTAAAGCATTTAGACAAGGTCGGGTCAGGTCAGGTCAGGTCAACCAGTAGGGGTCGTGACGGGTATTCGTAGTATGTACAGGTCTCGCGAGATTAAGCGGTAGGTTTTGCACTTTTACATTTCCGGTTATATCTCAGAAACTAATCGATCTACGATGAAGCCATTTTACACGATCATGGCCGGCTTGTTACCCAACAAGTCGATCGCATCTTCAACACTTAAAAGCTTAAGACGACGAAGATATAGCCTGAAGTACATACACTAAATTTTCTAGGTGCAAAACCTACCGCTAAAACCCGCGAGACCTGTACAGTCCACAGCAGAAGTAATGTGTGGTTTCAGTCATGGGTATGTTCTGCTTCTGAAGCCTAGGAACGATTAGCCAGACTGCAACGAGACTTTAAATGTAGCTTACATGTATCTTCACCCTTGCAGCTACAACTTTATCTATTGACGTCTTCTTTTCAATCAGTCCGCATTTAAAAATCGTCGGTCAAAGCCATCCGTTGAGATTGGTAAAACCACACATTACTTTAGCGGTGGGCTGTACGTGTCAACCGCCTCTGACAGCTTCGTAACATGTTACGAAGTCACCAAAACTATTTCGTAAATGTTCAAATGGTTGCTAAATTCGAGTTCAGCTCGAAAAACTAGCCTAGAAACATGTAAAACTCGAAAAAGTGAACCGAGGTCACCAAAGGTCATTGACCTGACCTGACCTTCAGGTGACCTTGACACCCACCCTAATGCATGGGAGCAACATCAAATCACATGTTTAAACGTTTGAAACCACGAAAAACTTGCAAACGCGCGGCTAATGCGAGCCGAAATTCGCTGAATCGCGATTCCGGCCAAACATGGTCACAGAAAAGAGGTCACAGGTCAACGGTCATTTGGGTCAGGGCCATGAAATTTTTAGGGTAGGTGTAAAATTGATCAATGCGAGGGTACTGAAAGTTTCGTCGCGATCTGCCGCTTTTTACGCGAGTTATTCGCGAAAAACCATGGGGGTCCATCCGACCCCCACCCCCTACACATGCGAGGGTTAATGTATGACCATTTTAGCGATTCAATGTTGTTCAAAACAAAGAGTTATCAACTTTCTTGGTTCACACGAGAGGCCTTTAACCCTCGCCCGTATTGGTGTTTTGCCAGCCGCGAATGTATAAAGGGGGGCGTTGACCCCCCTTGCTGTTTCGCCCTTGATCGAACTAGAGATTCGCGGAAAAAGAGCGTAGGTATTCCCCGTGACGAGAGGAAGCCGATGATACACAATTTCAACTCTCGCCGGCCCAGGGGGGTGCCGCCCTACCCCCCATAAGGTTTTTTTCGCGATAGCTCCGAAAACGCTGGCGATAGAGAGCTGAAACTTTGCATACCTGACCATTGATTCAAACCGGATCTTTTGACACCAACCGCATTTTCGGGTCACGTCAGGCCACTGACCTATGACGTCATAAGTGAACCCCTGCACGGTCTTCAGATGTCGCAAGTCCATAGGCGGCGGAACGATTTGAGACAAGGGGGGCACCAGCTCAAGGAGCCAAACCTAGGGTACCCCCAAATCCTGTTTTCTCATCGGATTTAGGCCACTTATTTTTCGTCACAGCTTTGACACGATTTTTTTTTTTTTACTAAACGAAAATGGCAGTTCTTCACCCCTTTATGTGTGGTTAACTTTAAGCTGCTCCACAAGTACCTATGTGTTTGTCTCTTCCTTATTGTCGTTTGATAAATTCCATTTATCCTACATGTATCAAATTTCCAAGAAGCCATCGCACTACCAATCAGTGGCGAATCCCAGGGGGAGGTCACATGGGTCATGACTTAGGGCCTGGGGTCACCACATGCCTGCCAGGAGCACCACAGGCCTGACAGCCGACAGGGGCACCACAGGCCCGCCAGGGGTACCACAGGCCTAGCAGGGGCACCACGGGCCTGTCAGTGGCACCACAGGCCTGTCAGGAGCACCATCGGCCTAGCAAAAGCACTACAGGTCTTCCAGGGGTACCACAGACCTGCCAGGGGTACCAGAGGCCTGCCAGGGGCACTATCGGCTTCGCAGGGGAACCACCGGCCTCGCAAGGGCACCATGGGCCTGTCAAGGGCACCACAAGCCTGTCGTTGGCACTTTAGGATTGTCAGGGGCACCACAAACCTGTTAAGGGCACCTGCGTTCTAACAGGGGCACCACGGGCTCGCCAGGGGCACCACAGACCTGCCAAGGCCCAGGGACACCACAGGCCTAGCAAGGACACCACAGGCCTGCCAGGGGCACCACGGGCCTGTCAGGGCTCATGGGCACCTAAGTCATGTCAGGGCCCACCGTAGGCTTGTCAGAGGACAGGGTAGGTAGGTACCACAGTCTTTCCAGGGGCACTAGCGGCCTAGCAGGGGCACCAGTCATCACATGACTAACCAAAAATAAAGAAAGAAAAAAACTGAAAATAGGGCACCACCAAATTTAAGTGGCCGAAATCCGTTGAGGTTTTAATTTTGGGTATAAGTAGGGGCGCCACTTCGATTCATGACCCTCCCCTTGGAGTTTTCCCGAATCCGCCCCTGGTACTAATACATCAAATTTAAGGGGGGCACCTTGCTATTGGTGCCCCCCTTGCAGAATTCAAGGGGGCACGGTGCCCCGTAGCCCCTCCCCCCCCCCGTTCCGCCGCCTATGGTCGCAACTTCGCAACGCCCTCACTGGTCAACACCCAAAGTTGACTTCACCCAAACAAAAAGTATATCATTTGACGCGCCTGAGCGAGGCGAACACAATGCTGCCAAAATGTCGGCTCTGCGGCCGTTTTTGGCGAAGTTATTCACCCAAAACTGAACCGTACCTTGGGGTACTTGACCTGACCTCAGAGGTCACCGGTTGACCTAGGACCTTAAAATCGGGTACCAATCTCTGCGTCTCGTAACGGCGCACACGCTCGTTTTTTCCGCGACGCGCTAGCTCCACCAGGGGCGAAACGGCGAGGGGGGTCGTACCTGCCTCCCCCCTCGGCCGGCGCGTATGTAGAAAACCAATAGGTCCGGCGAGGGTTAAGGTCCTTGGTGATTGGTTAACCCGCGCCCTGATGGGGGGCCATTTTGCCCCCCCCCCCCTGGGTTTTTTCTTGAATAGCGAGAAAATGGCGGCGGCGCCACATTTTCAGTACCTTTTCAGATATAAATTTGACAACTTCATGCAAAATTTCAAGTCACAGGTCATCTTAGGTCAGGAGTGATTGAGTTCAAACTGAGGTCATGTTCGAGCAAAAATGAGCAAACAGCAAGAAATGCTGAAACGCTGACAAAAGCTACAGCTTGGATGAGATAACACTGGATTGGTGTCTCGTGGAAATTAACATTGGAATCCGCGACATTGGGATCAGGCCTGCGGCCCAGGGGTGTAATTTTCCTAAAATGATTGCGGGTGCCCAGCTGTAGGGGCGCCAGGCCGCTTTGGGGCGCAATGGATAGGTACTCTTTATGTGGGAGCCTTAAGTAATACCTACCGAATTTGATAACATTGCTAGCCGAAGGGCGCTTCAAGTGACATGTCTTACTAAGCAAATACACGGTTAACATAGGCGGCGGAACGGGGAGGGCACCGGGGCACCGTGCCCCCCTTTGATTTTGGCATTTTAACATAAGCCCTATGGGCGTTGCATGGAAAGAATGAGACCAAAAGTCGGCAGTGCCCCCCCCCCCTTTAATTGACAGTGTTCCGCCGCTACTGACGGTTAAAAGTGTAAAGTGACTGGAAGGGCGTCAAAAAAAAAAAAAAATGTAGAGGGACGCCATCCAGTCAATGGCTAACAAATGATTACGTTAGGTATAGGTACGTCTTAAATGTCTTATGCGGTCAAGAGGCGACGGAGGGTCAGGAATGATAACACAAGACAGCCAGAATGTCCTGAATGCGATAAAAGGTGATGGGCGGGAAAAGAGCGCCGGGAGATTTACTCACAGCCCTAGACGGTGAAGAGGTTGCGCTGTGACCAATTGAGACGGGCGGTTTACTATATGGACAACAAAACTAAGATGTTTATCAAGTGTTTCAAACTAGAGTGTCCTTCCATGAAGTGCTTGTTAAAATTATGTCCGTTCATTTAACCTACGACGGGCCGGAGGAGGGGGGGGGGGTGTTTGAACACCCCCCTCCCTGCGGTTTTTCGCAGGTATCTCAAAAACGGCGGCGCCGAGCGTCGTGCATCTTTTCCGCACATGTGAAAATTTCAGACCCAGGTCGCCTAAGGTCAGGTCACCAGGTCACGCCAAGTGACCTCACCTCAGAAAAAAATAAGAATGTTCGTCATAGCTACACCGACTGAACGATTGCCTTGAAACTTTCAGCGATTGATAAGAGGAAACATTATCTATAAAATTTATATCTCGGAATTTTGATATCGGTAACCTAAGGTCAGGTCAATTTTGCGGCCTCTCCATTATGTCAATGGGAGAAAATTGAAAAGCGTCTTTTTTCACGAACGCTGTTCTGAGCACTCTCAAACATCGAGATGTAGGTAAAATTGACACACTGAACCGGAAAATGGCAGCTGTGACCCCTCGTTATGTCCCCGAGGTCATCTCAGGTCACGAACAGAATCTAATAGTTTTTCGCTAATAACTTCTGATAGAGGCGTGCTAGAGCGATGAAAACGCCTTACGCTCGACGTGTTCGGCTCGACGTTGCGGATCGACTGATATGCAACATGACCTTTTCCGATCAGTTCATGACCTTGACCTGAGGTCAAATTTCAAGTTGACCTTTCAAGGTCAAATTATAGTTCACTCGACGCGTCTCGACGAGAGGAACACGATGCTGGCAAAAGTAATGTCATGGCTCTTTTGAGTCCAGTTATTGCCGAAAAAAAAATACTCTTCATAAAAACGGCTATTCTCGGAGTTTTTGCCCTCTGGAGGCTAAACCGTTGACCTGAGGTCAAATCTGAGACCATTACCAGAAAGGTCTGTAAAAGGGCTATCGAATGCGCTTTTCCGCGGCGCTGTAGCTCTATCGGTTCCCGAGATAGCTGTTGGCAGTTTCCTTGAAATAGTCAACATTTTATCTTTGGTAACCTCTGGTAACCTGACTAACCTGACCCAAAACAAAATGATGTGTTTTCGTCCTTATTTTGGACGTTCTTTCGATTGCCGCTTACCGCGTGTCGCTTCGTGGCCCAGGAGCCGAGTTAGAAGGGGGGGTGTTCAGACACCCCCCCCCCCCCCGGCCCGGCGCGGAAGTCTCGGAGCACCGGCCCGGCGCGGGTTAACAAAAGAAGGAATGAGGAAAAGGAAAGGGCCTTTCAAAAATATTCAAATGTCATGATTGCAGCCCAATAAACATGAACTAGTAATACCTAATACGAGTATATAATTCGCGATATACTTGATACCTTTCCTCACTGAACCGAACGACAGAGTATTGTCAGTTCAGGCATACCTGGCCTCGTATTCTCGTCATTTTCGTTAGACTGCTGAAACAAGTAAGTGTTCGGCGGTCGTTACACTGAGAAAAGAAAGTGAGAGTACCGACCCTTCTCTGAGACCCGTAGTTCTTCTCATTTTCCCTATTCAAGTCAGACCACACGTTTTAAGACCTTTTCCCGGTTTACAGGGTGTCCCAAAATAAATGTCACGCCCTCCCAAAACCTTCATTTTTGCCTCCTACGGCGCAATTTGAATACAGGGTGGCGCCGATAAATGAAGACAATATGTGCTCCACACAAAACATTAATTTTTTGGCAAAAGTCAGTACATTGGATGGAAGCTTGGAACTGGGGTGACTGATGGCGATCTGTCGAGCACACTTCACCCGATGAATCCCCCTCCGCGTCGATGACGGCCTCGATGCGCGGCCTGAACCGGGCTCAGGCCTTGGTCAGAATGGTCTTATCCATCTTGACCATCATCTGCTTGATGGCTGACTTCAGAGAGTCAGTATTGTTGTGTAGTTGTTTGTTAGTGTCCCTCTCGACTACGCCCCACACGTTTTAGTCGAGCGGGTTCAGGTCCGGGAAGTTTGACGGCCAGAACTCGGGCGTGATGTGACTGTGCACGTTGCCGCTCATCCACTCCTGCGTCACCTTGGCCTTGTGGGCGGTTATCTTGTTGGAACACATAGGGTCTTCCTCAGCCACTCAGTCGATCCAGGGTTTCACGACGTCACCGTCATCGACGGTGACGTCGACGCCGTGTCATCGTCGACGATGTGCTCGACTTTGGCAATGAAATCGTCGTCTCCGACGGCATCACGACGACGGGATGTTTCTTCCGCTTTGCCACAGACGGGACGTCGCCCACAGACTCATCCAAGCTCCGCTCGACTTTATAATCATGGCTTCTGTCGACCTTGAGGAAGTTGGCGACCTCGGGAGCCTCGCTGCCGGCGTGAAGCGCCACAATGACCACGTGTCTTTTCATCTCTTCCGTTATCATCTTCAGCTGCAACGTTCCCTTTTGCTATGGACAACAATTTACATAAAGCATGGAACATGAATGCAAAAAATTATTGCTCTGCACGAAACAGCTTCCTCGTAACACAGGTTTGACATTTGTGGTTATTTACCGGCGCCACCCTGTATAATTTCGCCAGTACCAGCTCCCAAATCATATTGGTTACATTTAACCCGCGCCCCAGTGGCGGTCTCCGCCAACTTCGCCCTAGTGGGGGGGGGGGGGGGGGCATATGTTACCACCCACCTCAAACTCAAAAACTAAGAGGGCTAGAAAGACGCGGTAAAAAGCAGTCGATAGCTCTCAATGCGTACGTTTGAAAGTATTTCTGTCATTTTTCATCTTAGAGCAATATTAGGGTCACCAGAGGTCATCAAAGGTCAAAATTTGCCAATGGTCATTATATTTTTCAGAAAACATGCCGTTATCTCAGAAACTATGGTAGCTAGAAAAACGCATGGAAAAGCAATCGATAGCTCTTGAACTCTTCTTTTGAAAAGGTCATTATCAACATTGACCTCAGGTCACGGGTTTAGCCTCCAGAGGGCAAAAACTCCAAAAATAGCTGTTTTTACTAAAAGTGTTTTTCGACAATAACTTTCGACAACAAAAAGCCACGACATTTTTACTGCCAGAATCGTGTTCCTCTCGCCGAGACGCGTCGAATGAACTATAATTTGACCTTGAAAGGTCAACATGAAAATTTGACCTCAGGTCAAGGTCATGACCTGACCGGAAAAGGTCATGTTGCATATCAGTCGATGCGTCTCGGCAAGAAAAACACAATGAGACCATCCCCAGCGTTCTATCTCTTTCCAATCGCGAGTTATTGGCAAAAATCTGTTTGTAGCCTCAAATGACCTCGGATGACCTTTCTAGAGGCTATCAGCAAAAATGACACCCTGGTCATCACGGTTGGTCCAAATCATTGTGATTCTGAAATATTTGGACTGTTCCTATGCGTACACACGGATCTAGAGGCATTTTCATTTTTCTCCATTGACTTGTAATGGAAAGGTCACGCCACTGACCTGACCTTAGGTCACGGATATAAAAAATCCGAGATATAAAAATTGTAGGCACCCGTAACATCATGCAATCCACTAAGTTTTAAACCTTTCTGACAAACACTGCAGGCTGGACATGATTGCAAACTTTTTTAGGCTTGGTCAGTTAACTTGACCTGGTGACCTGACCTGACATGACCTGGGGTCAAAAATTTCACACATTGTCCAAAATTGATGTACCAAAAGCTACCCCAAGCGGCGCGGCGCTACGCGCCGCGGTTTTTTATTTACACGCAAAAAACGCCACAGGGTGGTAACATATGCCCCCCCCCCCCACTGGGGCGAAGGTTAAGTCACGTGAGCTTCGAAGTTTTGTGACTCTGAGGGCTGCCACGCGACAGAGGTGGATAGCCGCTTGACGGTTTGAGAGCAAGCCGGGTCGCGACAGGAAGAGTTTCGTCAGCCGGGTAGCGCAAATCGTCATCGCGAAGCGCGGTGCTAAAGACGGGCCAATCCACAAGGAAACTGGCAAGAGGGCTGACTGCCAACGGTCATCCAGTATCCAAGTCAGCAGCAATCCATCGATACCTGAGGTTGTCTTTAAACCTGAAGCCCACCAATCTACGTCTCCAGCCGAAAACTTCTGCTAAACATGTCCAGAGCCACCTCTCAACAGGACGGCGCCCCGGCTCATCAGCTAGAACGACGCAGAATCGATGTCGATCGTACTTCCCGGCATTCTAGAAGGACAAATTGCCGGGAAATAGCCCCGACCCCACTGTAGGCCGGCAGCCCGAAAAAGCGCTAGAAATTCACCCCAACTGACTGCCCGCAATATCAACAAAATAGGTATCATTTAACCCAAATTGATCGAAGAATACGATTCCGATGCCAGTTTTTCCCTATGGTCAAAAATGAGGTCGTCAGTTGTCACCAAACACAAGACAATTTAGACTCTCTAGTGGCCATTGTCGTCACCGATAACCCTTGGGTTAAAACGCGCTATCTAGGGACATGTTATAGCCTGTGCAGCCCTGATCCACGATGTATTTAGCGGTTTCTGAAAAAGAAAATACATTGAGCAGACTGCAGGTGACGTGCACGAATTCCGTTGGTGGATAAATCGGTAACTACTGACATACATGGAAATGAAAGTTTTAACAAAACGAAGCAAGTAACGACAATACATGCATGATACTAAATGCATGATCATTGAACACTCACCAAACGTTGACCTCGGTTCATATCGGTGACGTTTCGGTTCGGTGACATCGATCGATCGTTTCGGCTATACAACTTATTCCATTCATTTTCTCGCCACTCTCAACTTAAATTACATCTTCAATTTCTCGCCACTATCAACTTAAATTACATCATTGTAAATGCAGTATAAACTGAAACATTTGCCTACATTCTTTCCAAGCCGTGCTGATTTTTATCATGAACATATAAAAACGTTGTCAGTAAAATTTCAAAGCTATTCTCGCGCGTTAGCAAGCATGCCTCCGCGTCAAAACACTCGTAGTTACGACACCCTCCCCCACCAGAGTTCTGTATGCGCAGGAACGCGATATGCCACTTAAACCATGCATTGTCCAATCGTTAACACATGTCACTCTGTAGTGCTTATCCACCAGTGTTCTATGTTCATGTCCGGCATGTCCAAGCATGTCCGGCATCCGACTGCTGCAGTCGATAACAGCCGAACGGGAACAGAGGGAACCCCTCCCTAAGTGAGCGGCAGCAGCCCAGTCGGACTTCGGTGGCGATGAGGGGCCACATCCAGTGATAACTGTCCATAACAGTCCGTAGCAGTCATCGCCGGCTGCTAGCAGGTACCAGCGGCGGCATTCAGTCAGCTCCTCCACCGGCTCAATCTTGCTAGGTCCTCCCGTGAGCAGCCCTCGTGGTGCCGGCGCCGTGCCTCTCCGTCCCAGCTGCCGGCTGGCTGCGTCGCAGTCGCCGCGCCCATGCAGGTCCATGCGTGCTCCGGGCGGGCAGTTGGGTGATCGATCAGTTGGTGGGCTGCACAGGCTATATGGGAAGTATATGCAGAGGAATGGGTACGTGAGCATACCTATCTCAGCGCTTACGTGTACATGTTAGTGAAAGGGTGTTAGGAAGAACCACTAGCTTTCTTGGCAGTCATGCATCGTTGAAGCCAGGAAATTACTCAAGTCTTTCAAGGAAGCACACTTTGTTGACTGGTCGGTGGTACGTCAGACCGCTTCCAGTTCTGATTTCCACCGAACGGACTCGGCCGTCCTCGCCTGGTACGGTGCGTGTGACAGTCGCCAGAGGCCAGTACCCCCGTGGGGCTTGATCATCCACCATGAGGATAACGTCCCCTTCTTGAAGGTTCTCAGATTCGCTGTTCCACTTTTCGCGGCGAATCAGTGTAGGCAGATATTCCTTCCTCCACCTTTGCCAGAAATGGTTCGCAAGGACTTGAGCGTGTCGCCACCTCTTCTTACTCAGTAATTCCGAGTCATTGAACATGCCGGGAGGTAAAACCGACTCTGCGGAGCCAAGCAAGAAGTGACTGGGTGTTAGAGGCTCGGGATCTCTTGCGTCACCGCTGCAGTATGTTATTGGCCTGCAGTTGAGAACACTTTCAACTTCAACCAGCACAGTGGATAGCACTTCTCCTGAGACAACTTGATTGCCCAGCACCACTCTCAGAGATCTTTTCACAGAAGCAACTAGACGTTCCCACACTCCACCCATGTGGCTCGCTGTGGGAGGATTGAAGTGCCATTCGATTTGGTGCTGGCTCAATTTTTCCATAATCTGTGACTGATTCCATTGTTCGATGAGACTCTTCAGCTCCTTCTCGCCAGCTGAAATATTTGACCCATTATCTGAGAAGACAACGGAAGGCTTGCCTCTGCGACCGAAGAAGCGCCTTAGAGCCATCAAGAAACTATCAGTGTCCATGGACTCCAACAGTTCTAGGTGAATCGCTCTGGTGCTGAGGCAGGTTATGAGAAGAACCCATCGCTTTTCAATCTTCCTAAATTTTTTAACGTGTAATGGGCCAAAGAAATCCAAGCCCACAGCTTTGAAGGGACGCGTCGCGTGGAATCGATGGCGCGGCAAATCTGCCATCTTCGGCTGGCAGGGCTTCGCTCTCCGATTGCGACAGAAGGCGCATGCGTGAAGCATGCGTCGAACAGTTGCCCTGCCTCTTGGGATCCAGTATCGACTGCGAAGCGCGCTCAGTGTTTGATCCACTCCAGCATGCAACATCCGTCTATGAGCGTCGTGTACGACCAGGCGAGTCACTTCATCGCCACTGCTCAATATTATTGGATGGCGAGCTGCGTCAGGGACAGGAGCGTGCGAGAGGCGACCGCCAACTCGAAGGAGTCCATTGTCGTCCAAGAAAGGCGATAAATCCAATAACCGGCTCGCCGACCCCACCGAGCCGCTAGAATTTAGTGCATCTTTGTCTTTCATATAACACTTCCTTTGTGATTCTTTGATAATTGATATGATCGCAGCCTCGATCTCACCGCCGTTCAGTGAAGTCAATATTTTTTCTTCCCCCTTGACAGCAGCCTTTAAGTTGTTCATGAACCTGTTTACCCAAGCCACTATTCTCGTGTATTCGAGCCATGAAGAAAAGCGAACTGGATCGGGCAACACTGTTTGGTGTACTTGAGTGCTCAGAACATGCTGTGAATTCTTCACCTCCGGATCAGAACAACTGAGGTGCGACGGCGGGCTGGTCTGTGATGGCCACATCGTCGAGGTCTCCTTTAAGAAGTCTGGACCCTCCCACCATGAAAGAAGATCACTGAGTGTCGCTCCTGAGGCACCACGTGAGCAGGCGTCAGCTGGATTTAGGTGTCCAGGAACATGGTACCAGTCACCACAGTCTGATAGATCATGAATTTCTGAAACACGGTTTGCTGTAAAGGTATGAAAGCGACGGCTCTCATGTTGTATATATGCAAGCACAATTTTGCTGTCAGTCCAGTAAAAGGAGCGATCGAATTTGTACGTCATAGATCGCTTGACGGACGCGGCTAGCCTGCAGGCCAGCACTGCCGCTTGAAGTTCTAACCGTGCAATAGAAAGCTGCTTTAGGGGTGCTAATCTTGTCTTTGCCATTATGAAGGCGCACGTGGCTGCCTTCTCCCCCTTTGGAATCAGAGTTGTCATTCTGACATACGCCACTGCTCCGAAAGCTGACTCCGAAGCATCACAAAATACGTGGAGCTCGTACGCAGTAGGTTCTGTCGAAAGATTCGCTTTATAGCAGCGAGGGATGCGAATGTTCTCGAGATGGTGTAACTCTGCGATCCATGACCGGAAGTCATGAAGCTCCCTGCTCTTCAGCCTTTCATCCCATTCATACTTCAGTAGCCACAGGCGTTGTACAAGCATCTTAGCTCGAAGGGTGAAAGGAGCAACGATACCTAGGGGGTCAAAAATCATAGCCACTCGACGAAGCACACCTCGTTTGGTCTCTGGGACCTCGACGACGCGGTTCTTGACTCCGAGGATATCTTCTTGAGGAATCCAAACACAGCCCAAGGCCCTTTCGTGGTGCGGCTTACAGCATAATAGGTCTACATTGAGCGCACCCGTGCCTGGGAGTTGAGATTTTGAAAGTACTTCAGAATGACTGCTTGCCCATTTCGTCAGAACAAAGCCCCCCTTGCTCACAAGCCGCGTAACTCCTTTCTTTAGACTTATTGCTTCATCAACTGTTTTCTCTGAGTGAAGAAAGTCATCCAAATAGAAGCTACTCCGTACAGCAGCAGCAGCTCTCTCACAGTCAGCGGTACCGTCTGTGTGATCAGCAGCGGTCCGCTGAAGAATGTAGCTCGCTGTTGCTGGACTGCATCGAGCACCGAAAATTGTCACCAACATCCGATAGTGGTCAGGTGGCCGGGACGTATCACAATTTCTCCATAAAAACGTGAGTGCTGGTTGATCTTCCGGTCGCACATTCACCTGATGGAACATTTCGGTTATGTCAGCCATCATCGCGACTCGTTCTTCACGAAACCGCAACAGAATCTCCACCAGGTTCTGCAGCATGTCTGGCCCTGTCAGCAAATTATCATTCAGAGAAGTTCCTTTGAAGGATGCGGCCGCATCGAAAACTACACGTACCTTTTCCTTGTTGGGGTTGTATACTCCATGATGTGGGAGGAACCAAGTTTTTGATGTGTGGTGATTTACTTCTTCTCTTGATAATTTGCGAGCGTGACCCTTTTTTACATATCCCATTAGCACTTCTTCATATGATGATGCTTTTCCTGGGTCTTTCTTCAAGCTTTTCTCTGTCGAGATCAAGCGACGGATAGCTGCACTATAGTTGTTAGGTAGTGTTACATCGTCTGTTTTCCACAATAATCCAACTTCATAGCGGTTTCCGACTGGTTTTGTTGTCCTTTCCAAAATTCTCAACGCTCTTCTATCTTCGGCAGACGTGGGGAACTCGGTTCCGTGCTTCGTTCCGAAAGATTCCGTGCTCCACCAGTCTTGAAGAAAATCGTGTTCTCCATGTAAAGCTGTTTTGTGCAGAAACATGACTTGCTTCACATGTTCCGGGACGAGGCTCCGCACATTTCCTGCGAGCGCCCAGCCAAACGCCGTCTTGATAGCAACAGGCTCTCCCGGTTTGCCAACCCTTGCTTCTTGCTGAATCACCGTTTCAATAATATTGGCGCCCAGAAGCAGCTCAATCTTCTGACCGTTATAACCAGCTACATCAAGATCCCGTACATGGTCCCAGCTTTGCAAACACCTGTCAAGACACGGAACCTGGACATGCAAGTCAGGGACTGAGAATACCTCGGGAACGAGTATAGGGCGCGCACACATTTCGGTAGTCGGAATGAGCGTTAAAGTCACCCTCTGGGCGCGCTGCACTGTCTCACGACCCCCGGCTGTCAGCAGCTGGAGGTCCCGCTTTTCACCTAATATCTGGAGGTCCCGGAGAACCTCGTCACAGCAAAGAGATGTTTGGGCTCCCGGGTCGAGGAGGGCATTGACGATTCTCGAGCGTCCTTGTTCCCCCAGTACCTTCACCCGAACGACCTGCAGCAGTGTAGTGACGTGATCTGCTTTGGATGCAGCTGCAACTACTCGGGCCCCAGTCACATCACGCTCTTGTTTAGTCTCGCTCGTTTCGGTTGGCGAAGCGAAGCGTCCGACCCGGCGACTTCCATGGAGTAAATGGTGGTGTCTCATTCTGCAGCCATCAATGCCACACTGCTTCGCTATTCTACAATGCCGAGCCCTGTGTCCCTCCTTTAGACAATAGAAACAAACTCCTGATGTGATCACGAACTCTATCCTCTGGTTAACATCCTTCTCCATAAAACGGGGGCATGAATCCACCCGATGATGACCTCCACATGATGTACAACTGCTACCGGAGGTTCCAACTTCCGTAATGAGCGTGGTCCTTCGAATAGGTTCTACTTTGGTGTCACGCCTTCGTGTCCTATTGAGCTCTTCCTCTGGCGTCACCGTTGCAAAATTCATGGCCACTCTTACTTGGCGCCGTAACCAATCGTCGAGATGCAGCAAATTCGGTTTGGCCGGTTCTAGTTCCAGTACATAATGTCCCCATTCTTTCTTTAATTCGATTGGGAGTTTTCGGACTATGTTACGAAGATTCTCCGTGCTAAATAAGTCCCCCTCGTACCCCAAATTTTTCAACACTGACACAGCCGAGTGGACGGCAGCATGGAACCGATCCATAGACTCAGGGTCGAGATAGGTGGGCGGTGGACAGGAGAATACCGTTCTCATATTTGCATGCACTATGTCTTCCTGCCTGCCGTACCGGTCTTGAAGTGCAGTAAGTGCTGAATGATAAAGCCGACCATCATACAGCAGGCCAGCAATAGTTTGTTGCGCCGGACCAATAACAGCACCCTGCAGATGCGCCATCTTTTCTGCATCCGACAGGGATGCCTGATTGCCAACCAGGGCTTGGAATAAAGCAAACCACCGTGGCCATTCCCCCGGAGCACCACTAAACTTGGTTAGCTCGAGCCGCGGAAGATTTCTCAGAAAGCCGCAGCTAGCGCCAGCGGAGTCATCGGGTCGGTGAACCACCTCGGCAATGGCGGGGACTTGGTTAACACTGACAGCAACAGCCGGAATTATAGAAGATGATTGCGTTCCTTCCATCTTCTTCGGACTGCACAGATTGTCTTCTTTTTCCCCGATGAAGTCATTCTGTCTCTCCCATTCCAGCTGGTTTTCAGCTGCTACGGTGAGTCTTGCTTCCAGTTCGGCTGCTTCTCTCATATCCCGTGCATTTTCCAACTCATTGGCTCGCTTTAGTTCTTCTGCCTTCCTCTCTCGCTCATGCCGTCTTTTTAGTTGTTCTACTTCTAGTTCCTTCACCTTCAGAGAGATCTCTGCTTTCTTCGATTCAGACATTTGTGACCTTGCAGAAGAGCACTGTGAGCCATCAACAAAAGGATCATGTTCTGTCTTAGTTTCTGACAATCGTTGCTCTATCTGAGTCACTATTTGTTGATACTGTAGCTCTGCCTCTGCTATATAATTTTGGGCCCTTTTCACCTCATCTGTATCTTCTAGGGCAAATATATATTGATCATTTATTACTTGCAAGTCCAGGAAAGCTTCATCAAGTTCTG